CATGACCTGAGCCGAAGGCAGATGCCCAACAACTGAGCCACCCAGGCGCCCTAATTCATATTGCATCTTTTAATTATTTGGAAATCTAGTTATAAGCACATATTGCAGATATGAAGGAAAGTAAAGAAAATAACATTTGTTTCTTTCAAACACTCATGATGAGTTTTAATTTTGACAGTCATGGACAACATTTGGTGCTCTTACTCTCTGGAAGACGAAATGTGTGGAAAGTAAGTAAATAAAAATAATAGACAAAATCTTTAAATATAATCTTAGAGATATATATGCCATATGTAAAAGATCTATATATCTTATATAAAATGTTTAAAGTATAAACCTGAATTTACCTTTTGTGTTTCACATGTTGTTTCTGTAGCAAGAACTTGCTCTGTCATACAAAGTGTCTAGAGGAGAGACAAAATGGGAAGGCAGAGCTTATCTTCCTTGGAGTTATTTTCCACCAAATGTGACAAAATTCAATTCATTTGCAATTCATGGATCAAAAGATAAAAGAAACTACGAAGCTCTTTCCCCCGTACCTCAACATGAACTGCAACAAGGACAAAAACCTGATTTGTAAGTAGAAAATAAATGAAGATAGGTTCCAACTCTGAGTTTTTTGGAAACTAATTTTGGGTAGAGCAGTAGTAACATTTTTCACTCCAAGAAGACGTATGTGTACAAATGCCTAGCAGAGTTATGTGTTCCCTGATTGTCCTCAGTAAGTACTTGACAGACTGACTTTGGACAGACATAGGCTCTCTTACTGCTGTCAGTAGAGCACTTATATTTCCATAGTGCTATGAGAAAAGTCTTACTTAGTGAGTATTGCCACAGCAAGTATCAAAGTATGGTTGCAAATTCATTTATGATCCCTTTCAGAGCTAAATGGCCAGAGATGTCTGTGTTTCCTGGTGTGGGTAAAGGGTTAATAAATCCTTTCTTGTGGCTTGAGAATGTGATCTTCAGTTAACGCTCTAGCTCTCTTCCCCTAGTAACCTCATAAGGATAAAAATGTCAACTATATTTCTAAGCAACTGCCTGTCATAATAATGACCCTTAATTGGTAAACTGATTCTGATCTGAGAGGAATTATGAATAAACTCTGAATACCTGATAGGGGCCACATGGCTTTGGGATTTCCCTTTAGCAGTCTTGTTTCCCATGGGGATGCTAGAAACTATAATAATGAAGTTATTATTACAAGAGATATTGGCTCCTGTGGGGCAGCAGGCATGTAAGCTAAGGTATCTCCTACACTTTTTCAGTTTGAGTCTTAGCTCTTTGCACCTAAAGTTGTCACTTAAGGAGAATATAGCTCCTGGCCAGCCTTATAAGTGCTTCATGGACTGCTATAAACACAGTAAAGGCAGATGCTGTCCTGGGGCAAGCTGAGATTCCTGCTCTGTATCTCTCTGGGTGTACTTGGTGTGGCCCAGTCTGGTGAGATTTCATGTTTAGAAGAGCCTAAAGAGATATCCTGGTGGACTTTGAACCATGGTAGACTTTCCTGCCTTTTTCCCCTTAGAAAGTGCTATACTGTCCTTCTCCCTGTTAGCTTTTTCCTTCCTGTCGTGCTCTTACTTCACTCACTTTGCCTTTATCTTTTCTAGCCTAGCCTTTATTCTGCCTGACACACATTTCCCTTTGCTTTTGTCCCCAGTCCTGACCCTTTTTCTTATCCTTCCCTGTTGCCTTTCTCTTCATGCTACCTCTAATCCATCTCTGTTGTTTCCCTAACCTCTTTTTTTATTTTAATTTTTTAAAAATTGAAGTATAGTTGCTACACAATGTTACATTAGTTTCAGGTATACAACGTAATGATTCAACAAATCTATATATTATGCTATGTACACAAGTGTAGCTACCTTCAGTCTCCGTATAATGAACGCTATTACAATACCATTGACTATATTCCCTAGGCTGTACTTTTTATCCCTGTGACTTAGTCATTTCATAACTGGAAGTTTCCTAAACTTCTTAATTTTGGATTGACAGTGTGACTCTAAACCAGGTTCATCCTGGTTCAGCCTGCTCAGTGCGGGGCAGAATGGGACAGGAATCCAGATGGAACTCACTCAGGGCCCTCATATCAAGATGGCTTTTTTCTCTGGCTCTTCACCACCTAATGCCTTCCTGTATTCAGGCTCCTCATTTACAAGTTATTGGAGACTTACCCTAGATAAAAGTATGAGTATACCATTGGTCAAGGTAGAGTCAGGGCAGAATGATTTCCTGCACAGGTGAGATCCACTGTAACACGTTAGTTAAGCCATTGTCTCCTCATTAAGCCACAATACTTGAATGGTTTTCTTAGAAAGAAAAGAAGTAGGATTAAATCTCTTTTACATTCACCTCTCTTGCTTTGGCAAAGTAGTCTATCCTCTAAGTTACAGAGCTGAAACTTTAAAACGATTATCTATATGGCATATAAAATATATCAAAATTTGAATGTAAAAACATCTCTAAGAGTATAATATTTGTTTAAGGCTAGATAGAATGAGTCAGATTTTGAGGGTTGATTTTTATTTCTTCCCTCAGCTGTGAGGGAGCTTTTCTAGAATTAAGAGGAGAGTGTTTTGAGATGTCAGTGAATTTCAGAGCTGAATGTTTGATAGCAAGAGTGAGAAAGTTGTACACATAGAATACATCTTACCTTTGGTATTTTTTAAATAGAATGTTGTTCTATCACAAATGTGACAAAATAAATAGCCCTTCAGGATGACTATTTCACAAATGCGTAATTCATTTCAATTCTCACCTTCTTTTTATTTGTGTTTAGTCATCGTCTGGAATACTTCAAGCCTTTCAGTTTTAATACACTGCTTGGAGAAGAATGGAAACAACCAGAATCAGAGCTGTGGTTAATAGAGAAACCTGATGTATAGGAGTATAGTAGATGACCATATCAGTCATTTCTTCTCTGTGTCTTTTAAGGTAAATCAATAATATGTATAATCTCTTTTAATCACGATACCACCAGCACACTTCAAGAACAACTATTTTCAGGGGCACCTGGGTGGCTCAGTTGGTTAAGCGACTGCCTTCGGCTCAGGTCATGATCCTGGAGTCCCGGGATCGAGTCCCGCATCAGGCTCCCTGC